CACACAGTCGACTGTTAACGGGGACCCATTTTAATAGTGCCTGTTCTCCCCTTGTACTTAGTGCTATGCCTACACCTGCAAGTCCGCGAGAACTAGCCAACGGGTAGCCAGATACACGGAGGGTGTATTTCGTTGGCTGTCCATTTTGGCGAGGTGAGGTCAAGTGAATGACCACACTGGGATCCTGTATGCGTGTTTCGGAGACACGGCATACATCAATGGTACGAGATTCTAGGGTTTCAGCTAAGGAGGCCTGTTGACCGATTTGGCATAGGGTACGTACGTTGAAGGCTCCAATGTGTAGTTTGGAGCGAGGTTTAAGTAGACCTGGGACAGCGTTTCGCGCACTAGAATCGTTGGCCATGGTGACACTTGAGAAGGAAACCGAGAGAGGAAGTTTAGTGTTGAAAGTCAAGGTAGAGGGAATAGTAGGAAGTAAAGAAGGAGATTGATTATGAATACAGTGGTCTTGAGTGTTGTTAGAGGTATGAGGGCAGTTATCACTTCCCGGTTGCCCACACCGTGGAAGGGTTCTGGGGGTACCTGAAAAGGAAATTGGGTTAGAAGTGGTCTTAATGACCTGAGAGCGTGACCGCAGTGCCCAAGGGACAACTGCTTGAGGTCGGTCACACACGACCTTTTTGTGGGTAGTTTTTGTGTTAGCTCCGTTCTTCAAAGTACCTTACCGCCGGAGACGGATATCCGTGGGATCAGGCGAGGTGTGCATTTTAGGGTCGACCTTTTCTAACCCCACCCCTCCTTGTGGGAAGGCAGCATCGCTGTCATGCTGGTTGTCTGAAGGAAACACCTTACTGCCGTCACACCTCTGTACAGTCGGCAGTACGACTTCGCCTTCGGACCTTGGGTTTAGCTGCTTTTAGTCTTACCGCTCTTCAACCGACCTGTCTGGCATGGTAGGGCCTCGAGGAACGATTGTTCCAGCCAGCATAGCTCGATTGCTTCATCACGATAGGCAAGCCCGACCACCACGTCAAGGTAGCAGCAACGGTCGGGCTTGACTAGTAGCATGTATTTGGATTTGAAATGATGTGATTGGCCCACTCTATCGATTTTTTCGGTTGATCAGTTGTTATTGATTTTACTGGTCTCCTTACCTTGAACAACTGCAATACACTTGAGTGACTTTCTTCTCATATAAGGAGCAACAATAAGTTGTTATTTTATTTAACTTTGATTTTCGACTAATAAAAACCGCGCTGCTGGTAGTGTACGAAATGCACTATAGTGTTCAGCTTTTAAATTTTATTTGAAATAGAGGATTCATTGGATTCTAGTTCTGAGGTTTCCATATGTCAATTTCATTTAGCCTTAATATTCATGAGAATAGTACAACAAACATTACAATGTTTTATAAATTAAAACATAAATACGTAAGCAAAAGTGAATGGTGGCTAGCGGTTTCGTCTTATTTGGGACTCGCCAGTTTGTTGTACAGCACAAAAATGAATAAATGCGTAAGTTATGCTGACTTACTTCCCATGTAGATGTACTTGCATAACATGCTTTGCAAGAGTTGTATCACGTTGAGAATCATGCTCATCACGTATTACAAAAATCATATCGAAACGTGACAAAATTGTTGGCATAAAATCAATATTATCTTCACCTTTCGTATCATCCCAACGACCATAAACACTGTTAGCTGCTGCAAGTACGGAACAACGACTGTTTAGTGTTGTTGTAATGCCAGCTTTAGCTATTGAAAATTACTTTAACTGAGAACCCTTTGTGGTTGCTCTTTAACCAAATGAGCCTATTCTCTCACTTCCTTTACTTTCATTCACTTATTATTATTCACTTACTGTTTCCATCTATTATACTCATTTTCATTTGTTTTTATACAATCTCAGTTCCTCATTATGTGGTGCATATACATTTTAGTGTATCAATATTTTGTTTAAATAAATAAAAATTGTAAGGGACGAAAAATCAGATAACTCCTGCGAAATGATATTTTGCAAATGGGTTAGGTGGTTTTTATGCAATTCTGCTAACAAATTCGTCTCGACTATTTAAATCCTTGGAAGATAGATTTTTTCCTCAGCTTATTAAAACCTGACTTTCCACTGCAAAAAGTTTATCTCGCCATGACTAAGTGATTTAGCAACCTTATAAAAAATAATCTAGTGTTTTAAATAGTTGTTTTTCGTTCTCGTCGCATTTTGTGATTAGTTCCTCAATTTTTGCGACTATATATTTGAGTGTTTTTTCAAGTACAACAGATATTTTTAGATTATTTCAGTTTTCGAATCATGGCAGGTGTAAATGATATAAGATTGTGTCTAAATAGGGGGATTCCATATTAACATTGTAACGAAATTTGAATGGATGAAAATAACATAACGGCTAGCTAACAAATAGAAAACGCACAACCTAATACACAGCCCAGCCAAACAGTTAAAAGGCAAGCTAACCAACTAATTGACTACGTTCACTGAAAAATGTTAAAGATTAGCATTACTCACTCTGTAGATCTCTGGCGGGATACCTTTGAAGGGCTTGACAAAATTAAACGTACACAGACTCAAGTTTGAGGTGCTATAAACTACTGTTTACTCCATTACCAATTATAAAAAAACGTTATAACTGTGGTCTGAGCGGGACTCTTACTTCTAATAATCGCAATGTTTTCTCTATTTACCACCTCCAATAATTAAATTCACATTTGAAACAATCGTTATTCTAACAATTTCTCTGATGGTTTCATTGTTGACAGGGTTGAAGTCAGATCTACCACCTCAGTCGAAAATTTTCAATGTGGTAATTAAACCTATTGAAATCCCACCAGGGTACAGATACACGATGAATAACATTGAGTTACCTATTGTCCAGGCACACAATGACTTAGGCGTCATCGTTAGTCAAGACTTAAAGAATAATGCACGCTGCCGTGCAATAGCCGCCAAAGATTTTAGAAATTTATGGTTCGTACACAGGGCTTTTAGGCATCTGGACGCTTTAACGTTTCTGACTTTGTATACAGTGTTCGTACGTCCTAAACTTGAGTACTGCATACAAGCAGCTAGCCCCAGCCTAAAAAAGACAGTGAACTCTTGGAAAGGGTTCAGAGAACAGCAACTAGGCTGATTCCCGGAATAGCGAAGTTCCCGTTTGGTACTAGACTGACCACGATAAACCTATTCCCGCTGTCATATAGGGGAATCAGAGGCGACTTGATTACAGTTTTCAAATTGCTTAATGACAAATTTGCACCTGATATGCCCTCATTTTTCTTGTCTTCCAAAACAGAAAACCTACGAGGACACTCCAAAAAACTTCACAAGCCCAGGACGAATTACTTTTCAGCTGACTATCGACTTTCCCATCGAATCATCAACGAGTGGAATTCATTAACTCGGCACGTGATTGAGGCTCTATCCGTCGACTCCTTCAAAAGAAAGTTGGGTCAGCTGAGAGACCATCAGTGCCAGGACTAACATAAGCCATCAAGCCTCCTGTCCTTTCCGAACTGAAACTGAATATTACTGGCCACGGGTCTAACATGTTAGGCATATGCTTATGCAGAAAACTATCAGAAGAGGGTTTTGTGGAGATTTTAGTGATTTTATATAGTTAAGATCATGAGTCAATTGAAGCTAGACCGCTGTTCAGTGTTTCCACGTTTTTCATGGTGGTCTGGTTTCAATGGACTCATGATCTCAACTAGATTGCTTCAAAACCAATTAATATCAAATGATCTGATCAACGTGAGAGGCAGAAAACCCTGTTCAGCGATAGCAAAACATTCAAATGGGGCATCGAATCGACATTAATACAGCTTTTAAGACGTTGTGTAGAAATTGTCAAGGACGAATTTTCGGGTTTATTGAAGCTTTGAATATTCATAAATTCAAGCTCACTATATGCACGAAAACAATTTGTCGTAACCCTGAATTCACCGTGGTAATCCTTAAGTCATTTTATGGCCTAGGATAATACGACAATTTCTTATTCTTTCTATACGGTGCGAGAAATCTTCACTCCTGTTTATTACTTTTTTTTACTTGAACTTCCATTTAGCTGACCTTTATTAATTTTCATATAAAATGCACTGACAAGTATGTGTGACCAGAGTGTTCGAAATGTATGGCGCAGATACATCACATTTTTCAGATCAACTGCGACTTCTCCTTGCTTTATCGAAAAAATAGGATGATAAAAGTTTTGGTGATTATCCAGTGTGTTGAGTAGCTGTGTATTCTATATTAGTCTATATCAAAATCCGTCATGTTGTTTACGTCCCAATAACAACTCAGGAATATGTTGCATGGAGATCATTGTAGTGACCAAATTTGATGGGAAAATTTCACAGAATTTCCCGGCAATTTAACTTATGGGATATATCAAACTGTTGTCGCCGTCCTTCCTGTCTCATATATCTGTCATTCATATATTAATCTTGTGGAGCAGTTTTTATTGACACTCCACATTCTTCTATATTTTAAAGTTTTTTAATTTGATGCTATCAATTCAGTTAAATTTTTAATGTCACACAGTTTTTATAATAAGCAATATTCAGAAATACAATGTTGGTTGATTTTAACTCGCAAAAGCTAGTTATCATTTTTTAAAAAGTTTGTATCATAAAGTCCCAATAGACTTGTAAATGATCATCTCCGCTCAAAACTGATATGCAGTAACAGATTTTATATAGTGTCTGTGCTAACGAAATTCGACTTCAAAAGCGTACGCTGACGATAGACTGCAGTGTAATAGAAGCCAGGAATATACTCAAGTTTCAATTTCTGTCTTAGCTGTGTATGAATATTATCTTATTACATGTCTGAATATCTGTTATAAATCGTCATTTTCAAACCAGATAATATTTTTAGCCATTTAGTCTAGTAGATATCCCATATACAAATATAGTTTATTAAAGGTCACAAATTGGATTGGATTTCTTGTTGTTTTATTTATCATCGGCCGAACGAATGACTTTGTTTCAGTGATAGTTAGTGACATTCAGCCTTTAGACGAATAAGGTCAGTCCTTATTGAGTCCAAATTTTCTTCAAGTCTGAAAGTCAACAAATTAAATCAATTTAGTTCATAGTTGTATAAATAAGTTACTTAAAAGGTTTAAAATCATTATTCACTTAGATATTGTTGTAGTAATTGTCAAAAGTAGCAACTAAGATTTGCATATAATTCTCAGGATAAATTACATGTCTTCTAAATAGCCAACAAATTTACTTCAGACAGTCTAATCTTCTGTTTATTAAGCTTTGCTGTCGATGGAATGTTTAACATCATAATCCTTTGTCTTCGTCATTTAGAAACTTGTCTCCTCGATTTAAATAACAAATAACTGAACTGAGATAGATGATCCGACAAATATTTTTATACGTTGGGTTCGTAAAGAGTTAATACTACAGCTTAAGATAGATGTATATCAGTAAAACCTAAAAGCATAACATCGTGACCAAAGTAATACAAGCTTGTGTCTTAATTACTTAGCTAAAGTAGTGTTCGTGTTTTAGGAAGCGATTAATATGATGTCAACTAGTTCAACAAAGATTCTTTCCAGAAGATCCATTTTTCTAAGTTGTATTGTCATTTATAGACAATGAGTAACCAGAGTGGAAACAAGTAATGTACAAGAGAAAATGTCAATACATAGACTCAATATGTATGGATTCTCTCAGATCTGTTGATATGGAGAACCGATCAAAAGTAGCAAAAGGTCGGTCGATGGCATTACATTGGGATCAATGAGTCAATTTCCTAAGGATAGAAGGGCATACATATATGAATGAGTATTTGTTCACTCCATTCGGTAGTCCAATGCACTTTCTCGCTCACTCTAGTGTTCTCTCTCAAGTAGTCATCTAGGGGTTAGCGCATAACATGCCGTGTATTAGTATCAGATTTTGTACACCACACATCACATCTATATGCCAAGTACTCTGGGAAATCAATATATGGATGTGTAGTGATTTTGAAACTTGGAGCTGTGGTCTTCAGGATATTTTTCCTTCATCAGAATTCATTAAGATGAATGTTTTTGGTTCGTTTGTTCGCCAACTGTGTGAAGATTGTTTTTCTCTCTAACTTTAACATCAGATGTGGACTCATTCATCGATTAAACTTAGTGTTGGAGTCGATGTTGACGTCAGGTTATTAAATACATGAGGACTTTGTGCAATATTTTCTCCCTATTTATCTTTTAAATACTGAACTTCATGAATACGGTTTGTAGTGTAGTGCTCAACTGTTTTTAATCCCAATTCGAGTGTCTATCACAAACTGGCCTCCAAATACTTTGAAAGTATTGCTGATCATAAATACATTCTCTTAGCAAGTGAATATTCATCTATTGCATTAGATGTTAGATAAAACAATATATAAACTTAGTAAATTATTCTACTGTGGAAGAATCACTGCTTTTAATTTACTAGGACACATCTATCAATTAGTGAAACAAGTGATGTGACAAAAGAATCGTTTACTCGGTAAGGGAGTAGAATATTCTCATGATTAAACCCTAGCTCCTTTCCCCCAAGTTAGTTAAATGAACTGTAATTATGAAAATAAATTCTGTTTACCTTTCAGTTCATAAAAAGCATATTCAATGGAATATTCATAGCACGCTATAATATCTTTTTATTTGTGGTCAAAAATCAGAATAAATAAATAATTCGAAATAATTCTTTGGTAAGATTCGTTTGAATATATCACAAGTACATATCGCAAATAAGTTGAACAGTAATTATTTGAAGCCTAAATTACTTTACTGTGTAATAATTATTACATCTAAGGTATTTTGTTTTAAAGTATCACAACATCATTATGTTTGCTGAATCAGGATGAAAAGTAAAAAAAATACAGCACATACTCTTAGTACATTTCTTCATAACTTACCTTGAGTGACTAAGTTTCAGTTGATTTGCTGTTGTTTGCGCTAGTTGACCGACACATGATAATTCGTCTTCTAGTGCATCAGTTTCCATTTGACTTAACAATAACTTCAGGTTTCTCGTAGAACTCTCAAAATTCTTTTTAATATCTTTCAATTTAGTTAAGTCATTTTTGTTTGATAACTAAAGAAAACGTACGTAAGGTTACCATTTATGTATATACTTATGTTTCTGTTATCAGGTATATATTCAGCTTCCTATTCACCTTATTGTCTTAGTAATTTGAATTAATTACTATGTCCATGAATAGATATTACTAAATTCCTTAAGTATTATGCCGCGTTGTACATTGTTATATTTGTCTTAAATTTATAATCCATACTTCTTCAGTAGCCTATCTTTTTTTTCAAACGGGATTTGGTGAGCACTGCTAAACTTTTTTTCAATAATGACTTTAAACTTAGATACTTTATTTGTTTAATTAAGGTTTACCTACCCAATACTATAAGGTGTGATAAGATTTAATGCTTTACATTACAAGAAAAGAACTTTATTCCACTGTTAATATCATGGAAGGGTTCAAGCTTATCATCACTTTCAAACAGTTTGTACATATACACTAATTTGTCTAGAAAATATTTTTTAAAAGCAATATAATATCAGATTAGACTACATGTTCACTCATTGTTTCAGGTGTTGGACTTTACGTTTTCGATGTTACTGTAATAACTTTTGTAAGGTTTTAAAAACCAGTGCTTCCTTTTATTCTTTTGATGTCAACAAATACGTATTTTTAAATAAATCAAGAAACCTTATATGTGTTAATTTACTAGCAGTGGTTAGTGACCGGTGCTTTTAGTGTAGTTTTATTTCCATTTGTGCAATAAATGGTAATTCGAAAAAAATTATTTTTTTCTGTCAATTACGCAGTTGCAAAAGAAATAAATATCTGGTTAATGAGAAGCACGATAAAGATATGGCCTTTTAATAAGCATTACTGGATATAAAATATCCGTGCAATGATATAATTTATGCAATCTATATTACATTGATTATCAATATGAGTATATAGTGTATCGACACTCTGATGGGCGCAAATAACCTCTTGTCTGGTTATTCTTGCTAGTCATTATGTTTTTCAACTAAGTGATTTATCATGAAATGTCCTACCTTCCATATATTGCAAAACAAAATGACTACTGGAATTTTGTCTACATCTTTATCTTATTGATTAATTACAATGTACTCTATTATTTCCTATTTTTGACATGCACAATAATATGTTAATTGTCCTTTACTAAATAACTGCAAAAAAAACACGTTGAACAACTTTCTTCCTAAATTTTCAATACTCGTCCTGAAAAAACAGTTTTAACTCACTTCACTATTTTTCCTAAAAGTATATCCTGTTAATTGAGTAAAACACGTTCTTAACCAATTCACTTTGCATTTTAACTCAAGAATCACTGAAATCAGAGATACTCTTTCACTAAATCCTATATGAAATTCTTCATTGTCTAGCTCTTGATTATTGAAGTTTTCTGTTTAAAAAAACGTATAATAAACAATGTTAATTCACTAGTTTGAAAATGCTAAAGTTAAACGTATCTAGTGGGAATCTATTACTTCATAATAATAATTTTACTTGGATTTTTATCTCAGTATCACCAGTGATTTACTTTTTGCAGCATATATCAATCTTATAAATACCAGCAAAACCATTTTAAACTAGTAGAAATTTCTGAGTGAATACATAGAGACTAAAGTCTTTATATTCAGACACAAACCATGAATAAATCAAAATATAGTTTAAGTGGTCACACGTTATTCATGTATACGGCATTCTAAAAACAGTAATTGCCACTTATTTGAACAGTTTTGACTTATGACAGTACGAACATAGTTATAGTTTGTAATTATCGAATGGTTATTTTGAAAAAATTTAAGTTGACCAAAATAATTGATGTTTCTAATTTTCTGAAAGTGAAATTTGCGGACCAGTTTTAAAAATAAATATCTGTGTGAGTAGTCTATTTTGTTTGCATCAATCATAAACAGTATTTTCTTTAGATGAAACTACTTATATCACTACATAAAGTTTAATTTTCAAACTATCAATATTTTTGAATACACAAAGGGGGTTTGAATTTTCGTATGGCTAAGGCTTCAATAAACCTCAGTATACGCCCTTTTACACTTTTAAACAACACAACAAAAGCTGAGTTAAGATCAATCTTATGACCTGTTTCGATTATATGTTTAGCCTTTTTAACAGGCTTCGTCGTATTTGCACAAACGGCGCTATTGATGACGATGTTAAGTTGTTAACCATGACATTAATCGGGAATGGTTATCCACCTAAATTTATCAATAGATGGAAAGTTATGGGCACAGCGAGACCTGTTGTAGCCTTGGTAGAGAAAAAGCCTGTTTACATCACCTTACCATTTAGAGGTGATTCAAATAGCCTTTTACTGAAACAAAGGCTTAAATCAGTCATCAACAAAACATATTGTGCAGCAAAGGTCATGATCAAAGAAAGAACAAGGTCCATGCTTCATTCAAAGCCTAGACGACATGAAAACGATTGTGTCACATCCCACTGCGTTTACCATTTTAAGTGTGTGTGTGGTCACACATACATAGGGAGGAGCAATCGTGATCTGAAAATTAGGGTGGGTGAACATGTACCAAAATGGTTGCAAAAACAAATACAATCGAATGACCCAATAGGAGTAGAGGATAAACATCCATCATCCTCTGTTGCTAAACATATCAATATTTTGTTTTATTATTTAAAAACATATATTAGGTTAAATTAACTATCTCTGAAATATTTACTTTTAGAAATATAGTGTCATACTGACCTTTTAAATGAATTCGGAATATGGTAAAACTACATTATTTACTTGGAAAGATGGAAACAAAGTAGTCGTCTTTAAATGTATAAACGTTTTTATTCAATACGTTTGTTAATCAGCTGTTGTAGCATGGAATTTTTCAATCACTATGCAGTTCGCATTGACATCCAACTACATTCTTCCCTAAAATATGGATTTATTCTTGTATGGTTGTTTAAAGAAATAGTCTTCAGAGCCTTTTAAAACGTTCAGCAGTCATGCTTAATTAAGAGGAGTGGAGAGTGACCAACATTTTCCGCTCCATTATACTACTATCTCCTGGCGTAGATAACTTATTTATTATTCAAATTGATTATTTACACGTGAAATATTCCGTAGTTGCATGTGTTTTAAAGTGTGTCTAGATGAAAACTTTCTACTCAGTACGTTAGCGACTGGAAGTTACCTTGATTACTAATAACTGAAGCTCATTGTACTAACATATGCATGAAGGAAAAAACCAACCTTTTCCTTGATATTTAAGCAATTCCTCCAACTTTCTTGTCAAATTGTCTAAATCATTTGAAATCCATGTGATAGCGCATGATATCACTGTATCATCTTTAGCATCATTATCCGGTTGTGTAGCGTCAGTCTGTACAATTTGGTCTATAGTCATATGAGGCTAAAGATGAAACAAATAGTGTATGGCTTTCATAAATTTTATGCTGTAAACTAACCATCTCAGAATAAATCTTGATAAAGTAATTCCCCAATTCAATAACTTTTCAGTGACATGACTTATATTATAAACTAGTGATTTATTAATAAAATGAAACATAATAAAAGTAGGTAATACAAGGAATATACCAGTGTCAATTAAATAAACTACGTGTCTACAAATAATTTAATTGGTTGTAAATAATTACCTACTCAGTTACAATTGATTGATCATTCAATATCAAGGTTAGAATTCCAAGTATTCATTAAGGTAGGTAGCATAATGCATGTACAATATGGTACGTGCTTTAACTCTGATATTTCCATTTAACTATCAAGTTTTGAAATTGACTAAAACGTCTTTACAAATCGTGTTATGGCTACCAGTTGATGGGTTATGACCTATTTCGATTGGATACGTTTGGGCTCATCCCCGTGTCTAATTGGTGTACATGATGTAGCTGCTTTTCTAACAACAGTATTTAAAAAAAGTTATTTCTTGTCTGAAATAATTATCGTTCAAAGTATCCTAGTAGTTGTGTCGCTCGGTTTTCAATAACTATAATCTCAGACTCAAAGTTTGTCTTACTTAATTCAGTAAAGGTATTCATGCAGAATCACCGTACTCCATATTTAAGGTTTGGTCTAAACGCTAAATACACGAACTTGTGTTCGCCGAATTAAATACATTAATAATAGTGGTTGTTTAGAGAGTTATAGTTAACCTGGAGGTAATTCGTCTCATATTGTGCAAGAAACTAGTTAATATTGAGATCAACCATCCTTAAGAACCAGACATGATTAACAGACCAGTTTTTATGTAAAAACAAATCATCTACATGTGAGGAACTTTTTATTTAAAAATATTGCTAGCGTGCACATCTTTGCAAGTGCATCAATTATGTATGAAACGATTAAATTAGAAATACCCGACCGTTGCTGCTACCTTGACGTGGTGGTCGGGCTTGCCTATCGTGATGATCCAATTGAGCTATGCTGGCTGGAACAATCGTTCCTCAAGGTCCTACCATGCCAGACAGGTCGATTGAAGAGCGGTGAGACTAAAAGCAGCAATCCCAAGGTCCGAAGGCGAAGTCGTACTGCTGACTGTACAGAGGTGTGAAAGCAGTAAGGTGTTTCCTTCAGACAACCAGCATGACAGCGATGCTGCCTTCCCACAAGGAGGGGTGGGGTTAGAAAAGGTCGACCCTAAAAATGCACACCTCGCCTTATCCCACGGATTTCCGTCTCCGGCGGTAAGGACTTTTGAAGAACGGAGCTAACACGTCAAAAATCCCCCACAAAAAGGCCGTGCGTGACCGGCCTCAAGCAGATGTCCCCTGGGCACTGCGGTCACGCACCCAGGTCGTTAAGACCAACACTAATCCAACTTCTTTTTCAGGTCCCTCAAGAAATACCCTTCCACGGTGTGGGCAGCCGGGAAGTGATACTAGCCCTCATACCCTTAGCTGCACACAGGACCAAGTTGGTCGCTTTCAAATCCTTCCTACACCTCCTAATAACTCTGTTATCTCCACGACTAACCCTTCCCACGTCCTTTTATCACCTCGCACCGCTAGGGCAAACGATTCGAGTACACAGAACGTTATTTCTGGTCTCCTGAAACCACGCTCTAAACTACATATAGGAACTTTTAATGTCCGAACATTGTGCCAAATAGGACAACAGGCTTCCTTAGCTAGGACTCTAGAATCTTACACCATCGATGTGTGCTGCGTCTCCGAAACGCGCATACAAGATCCGAGTAGTGTCATTCATTTGACCTCACCTAATCAAAATAAAGTTTCATCTCGATACACGCTTCGTGTATCTGGAAGCCCTGACGCTGCTTCCCGTGGCCTCGCTGGAGTAGGTATAGCATTAAGTCCTAGGGCAGAACTAGCTCTTTTAGACTGGATCCCAGTAGACAGTCGTCTATGCGCTGTCCGACTAAACGGATCAGTAAGGACCCGGAAAGATAGGGAAACTCGTCGTTGCCTCTTCGTCGTCTCTGCCTACTCTCCCACTGACTGCAGCTCAGACGATATAAAAGATGAGTTCTACAGGAAACTTTCTGACCTTCTCCGAGAAGCTAGGCGTTCTGATGTAGTAATAGTAGCAGGTGACTTTAATGCTCAAGTAGGTAAACTAAGTGAAAGGGAAAGACACCTGGGTGGATCTTATGGTGTCATGGCGAAAAGAACAGATAATGGCGACCGTCTGTTGCAGCTGTGCTCAGATAACCGCCTATTTCTTGCAAATACTAACTTTAAGCATAAGGAAAAACATCTTTTGACATGGCGACCCCCGAATTCGTCCCAACGTTGGACCCAATTAGATCACATCGCTATCAGCCACCGATGGAGGGGCTCGATTGAAGACTGTCGCTCATTATGGGGCACATGTCTAGATTCAGATCATGCTCTAGTGCGAGCACGTATCTGTCTGCGTCTAACTGGTCGTAGGAAAGACACTGCAGGGAAGCCTCTAAGGGTTCTACTTAATGATAGGCAAGCTAAGAATATATATCAGGAACAACTAGAAAAACAGTTAGGCAGCCATGTAAGTTGTGTCCACCCCGAGGCAGCGTGGAATGACATCCGAAAAGCTGTGGAAACAGCAGTGATGTCCGCTAGTAAGGTAAACCATAACGTTAGGGAGAAACAATGGATCTCGGCAGCATCTTCCGCACTGATAGATGCTCGTAAACTCATCCCACCTGGCTCTGAGCATAACGAAGAGCGGAGTCAACTTAAGCGCAGGCTTATAAGAAGCCTACGTAATGATCGTGAACAGTGGTGGGTAGGGAAAGCAAGAGAGATGGAAAAGGCAGCGGCAATAGGTAACAGTAGGCAGCTATTCAGACTCGTTAAAGAAACCGGCATTAGGAACCCGAATATCAGTGAAACCATCTCAGATAGAGATGGGCATATTATTCATTCTCAATCCAGGAGATTGGATCGATGGGCAGAACACTTTAGGGATCAGTTCAACTGGCCTTCAGCCACGCTTCAATTACCCACGATCCCCAGTCGTCCTGAATGGCAAATTGACGTAAGTCCTCCAACCCTCTGTGAGGTTGAAAAAGCTATAGGAAATCTGAAGCGAGGGAGAGCAGCAGGCCCTGACAGGTTGACCCCTGAGATTTTTAAGGATGGTGGTCCAGTACTAGCAGTGAGATTGACTGAGGTCTTAGGTAGAATCTGGGAACTGGACGTAATTCCATCTGACTGGTCCCAATCACTGATTGTGCCAGTCTATAAGAAAGGACAAAAGTCCTCCTGTGACAATCACAGAGGGATCAGTTTGACTAATATAGTGTCTAAAATATTAGCTTCAATAATACTAGGTCGCCTAACCAAAGCTCGTGAAGAGCAGACTAGAGAAAACCAGGCTGGTTTTCGACCTGGACGTGGTTGCATAGACCAGATATTCACCCTACGTCAGGTTCTAGAACATAGACACAAATTCAGACGTCCCACAATAGTAGTATTTCTTGACCTTAAGGCGGCATTTGACTCTGTTGATCGTGAGGTTCTATGGCAATGTTTGTCACTGAAAGGAGTACCAAAGAAGTACATTAACCTCATAAAGGCTCTCTACTCGAACACAACTGGTCGAGTTAGAGCCTATGGCGAACTGTCATCAGAACTGATTACCACAAGTGGAGTTCGTCAGGGCTGTCCACTCTCCCCATTCTTGTTTAACTTTGTCATTGACATACTTTTAGAGACAGCACTTTCATCAGCTAAGCCTCCAGGAGTTGAACTCTTACCGGGAGGCTCACTTGTTGACTTAGAATACGCCGACGACATAGTTTTACTCGGTGAAGACGCTGACAAAATGCAGAGTCTTCTGACCACCATAAGCAACAATGCAGGCATGTTCGGGATGCGATTCTCTCCCTCGAAGTGCAAAATGTTACTTCAGGATTGGGTTGCATGGACACCTGAACTAATGATAGGGAGTGAAGTAGTTGAGCGTGTAGACCACTTCACTTATCTTGGGAGTCTCATCAGCCCTTGTGGTCTGGTGTTTGACAAAATCTCAGCACGGATACAGAAGGCTCGTCTAGCTTTTGCCAACTTGCATCATTTGTGGCGTAGGCGAGATATCCGTCTAGCAACCAAAGGACGGGTTTACTGTGCAGCAGTTCGTTCCGTCCTACTTTATGGAAGTGAAACATGGCCGGTAAGAGTAGAGGATATTCGTAGGCTACTAGTGTTCGATCATAGGTGTCTTCGAAGCATTGCTCGTATATCCTGGGACCACCGGGTAAGTAATGCAGTTGTTAGGAAACGAGTACTAGGTAGGGATGGCAAATCGATTGATGAAGTAGTGAAACTTCATCAGTTGAGATGGCTGGGACATGTGTTACGTATGCCCGACCACCGACTGCCCCGACGTGCAATGTTTCATGGTGTAGGAGTAGGTTGGAAGAAAGCTAGGGGTGGCCAGACCAAAACGTGGCACAAATCAATGAAGTCACTGACAAGTGGACTGGGCCATGTTGGTAAGTGTAGACTACCTGGTTGGGATTCGCGAGATGATAGCAACCGATGGTTAGAGACCTTGAATGACATGGCTCAAAATCGTTTGCAATGGCGAAGATGCATCCACTCTTTGTGTTCTACCAAATTCTAATCTTCTGAATTTCTCATGTCTTTATGTTTTTCTCCTTCCAAATATATTTCACTGTACTATACTCCTTCAATAACATCTTCAAACTCTATTCTTTCCGATTACTGCTTATACTCTTACTAATTCTTCCACTATGGGATTTGAATCGACAACTGCATCTGTGTGCTAATGTGGTATGGCAACTCGAACTGATGTACGTACGTACGAAGTTCTACGTTGTGACTGACTGACTGAAATTAGAAATAGTGGATAGGTGAACAAGATGTATACAACTTATATTTCGTACTCAAACGTTTTACAAAAGTAGTAATTAAAGATTTTGTGAAGTATACCTGTTATAACTGAGTAATATCGAAGTGATATATTAAATACACACTGAGTGTAGTTGTAAAATATTTCCATCCATGAAGGAACATAAGAATCAGACTAGGGCATAAAATGTCGTGTGTGTACCATATCAACTGGACAAGACACTACATTAGGTTCAGTTTCATCAGATAGTGATAATTTTATTCTACTTATTTTTAAACATTTTTGGAGGTTGAACCTTTTGAAAAAATAATGATTTATTTAAGCTAACTATACTGCAGGTTTTATGTCATTAAAATTATGTAGGGGAAAATTTTATTTGATTTTTGACTTTGGGATTTCTGGATGATTTAAGTCCTTTTGGAAAATCTCTAAAAAAAATCAAGTATTTACTAAAGTGCTTCTACACTATATACATTCGTAAACAGAATAAAACTTCATTTAGCATATTCTATTTTCTATTTAAAACTGTACACTACAATGCAAATTATGAAGAGTATATATTCAAACACAAGGACGTAATAGTGAATAAAGGTTGACATTTATATATTTTAAGTAACACCATCCAAATAAGGATAACCAATACAAATAAACTTAGTAGATAAACATTCAGATACAGTAATAAAAAGAGACACCATAATCCTATTCCTGCAGGAAATTATCTCCGCTTTTCGTCATTGTTACTTATATAAAATCGGTAGAATTAATCATTAATCTATCTTTATGGGTTATAAAACAGCTGAATCTTAACAACAGTAATCGGAAACATGTATTTACAAAATTTAACATATCTTACTTGTTTTATCTTGTTAGTAATTAAAATTGTTTGAATTTCTTTATCAACATATACCTTTTCTTGTCTATTGATGTTTTGTAGACAGTTTTGTGATTGAACATATGCCCATCCAGTTTCCCAAAATAAATTATTCAAACGATTCATTTGTTCGTATTGTTTCTTTAAATGTTTTGATAATAAATCTCTGTTATAACGTAGATTAACAAGTCTTCTACTTAAACGTGTACGAATAGTCTGACATTGTTCCCATGCACGTTTGGCTTTGTTCTAAATTAGAAAAAGATAGTATGGAAACTAATATCTATCCTGTGCTGATAGAATTGCCTTATAATGTAGGTGAGTGAAAATTCTAATTATATATAAGTTTTATAAATTCATTAAATAAGTCTATACACAGTATAAAATTAATAGGAAGCGTAAATCGAGACTACTATGCCACACACATACTCTTACTCTAAGCTTCACACATTTTCAATATATTTACATTAAGTTTTCTTTTCATTACAGTACGAACCAGAGAAACTTTGATCTCCTTCTCTCTCTCTCTCATATATATATATATATATATATATATATATATATATATATATATATATATATATATATGTAGCCCCCAAATGCCCTGGTACGGCCGAGAGTGGGGAGAGTCTACTCTCCCTCTCGAAATGCGCTCACATTGCCAGCGAATATATAGCCTCTGCCAGGGAAGTCCTACTCACTGCCTTCTCGTGGCGGGGGTGTTGTTTACGAAATTAAGAGGACGAAAAGCGAATGTCCGGCGCTTTAACCGGGTTGGTGGACAAGGCGAGTCCACCTAGGGGAGTTGGAAAACCCTGATTCCAAACCAATGGTGCACATGGGCTCCAGTATCCTGATGGAACGAATGGCGGACGAACCTGTCATTGGTCAACGGCTACCATGGGACTGCATCTCCTCACGATGCTCCACCGCCTTGTGGATCAGACCTTTTGGTCAAAGGCTCGGGGTGTGCCCTCCCTAAGAAAATCACCTGCTTCGGTTTGGGCACCCGGGCAGTATCACAGCCCACACACAAATAAATGAAATGATGAATTCTATTGATGATACTGTTCCTGCTCATACTAGAAGCAACACAATTTACATTATTATTATTATTACCTTTATTATTATTATTATTATTATTATTATTATTTACCATATCGCTAACTCACCCCCTTTTATCCCCAATTTGTGTAACCTTACTTTTCATCTTATGCAGCAGCTTGCTCTTGGTGGAAAATCTGTCCTATCTAAACGATCTCCAGTCACTGTCTGGTTGAAAGTGAATGCTTCCACCGATTATGAATACTGAAGCAGTCCTTCTGAAACCACGTACGCCGTTCAAGCTGGCTTCCTTCAACGTTCGCACACTAATGCAGATCAGACAACAGATAGGGCTGGCTATGTCTTCGGAAGGTCTTAATGTTGACGTTTGTTGTCTATCCGAGACCCGCATTCAAGACTCTAGTGAAGTACTACAAATCCGCCCTCCATCTGTCGCTTCGAAAAGCTTGTTCCACGTGCGCTTATCCGGGGACCCTGTGGCATCTTCGTCTGGTCTTGCAGGCGTTGGTGTTGCACTAAGCGCTAGGGCTGGAGCAACACAAATCGATTAGATCCCCATTAACAGTCGGTTATGTGTCGTTAGATTAGAAAGTTCCATCAAAGTGAGAAGAAATCGGCGTGAAAATCGGTGTCTTTTCGTCATCTCCGCTTATGCCCTGGACTCAGATTGATCACATCGCGATCAGCTACCGCTGGCGTGGTTGTGTACAAAACTGCTGCTCCTTTTGGAGTACCTATCTGGAGTCTGATCATGCCCTGGTCTGCGCCAATCTCACCTTACTTTTCAGTGGTCGAACGATTGATCACCACCAACGAATCGATGCTAGTAAACTGGCTGCAACATCTGTTGCAAGTAAGTATCGAGCGAAGCTAGCTTCTAGGCTAGCTACCATCCCACCGAAAAGTATAGATGAGCATTGGTTGCATCTTCACGACGCCATTAAAATGGCGAGTAAAGCCGCTTGCGGCTTCGCGAAACGTCCCGCTTACAAGCACTGGGTTTCTTCTGGCTCCTTACAACTGATGGAAGCCCGTCGGTCTACTCCGGGTGACAGTGAGTATGACCACAAACGAAGGCTGTTACGTAATGAAATTGGGCAAAGCTTGCGTAAGGACCGAGAAGCCTGGTGGTCAGAGCGTGCTAATGAGATGGAAGCAGCAGCTGCATCTGATAACTGCCGGAAGCTCTTCCAACTCATCCGAGCCACTGGCAGCAAGAAGTCTGGTGTGAGTGAAACAATCTACGAGGATGACGGGATGCCAATCACTAACATCTCTCGACGTCTTGGACGATGGGCTGAATTTTTCGAAGGGCAGTTTAATTGGCCTGCTGCTCCGGCAACATCGACCAGTTTGTCCTGCCCCCCCATGGCCGGTGAAGACTGATCCACCAAACGAGGCGGAAGTCCGCAAGGAACTCCAACTCTTGAAACGTTACAAATCACCTGGCCCAGATGACTTACTTTCGGCTCTTTTTAAAGATGGTGGTGACTTTCTGGCTAAGGAATTGACGGTGTTGTTTGCAAAGGTTTGGGAGCAAGAAAGTGTTCCAACATCATGGAATGAGCCGATAGTCGTCCCTATCTTTAAAAAGGGTTCACGTTGTTCCTGTGATAACTATCGGGGGATAAGTCTTCTTCCGATTGCGTCCAAACTATTGGCTTCTGTCATTCTTCGTAGGTTGTTTAAAACTCGAGAACGATTGACTCGCGAGGAGCAGGCTGGTTTTCGTTCTGGTCGAGGATGCATTGATCACATCTTCACCCTCCGCCAAATGTTAGAACACCGTCATACTTATCGCAGGCCAACAATCGTATATTTCTTGATATCAGGGCCGCCTTTGATTCGTTGGACAGGACTGTTCTCTGGGATTGTCTATTGAAGAAGGGTGTGCCTGAGAAGTTCATTAACATCTTAAAGGCCCTGTATACGAACACCTCAGGCAGAGTGAGGGCATACAACCACCTTTTTCTCTTGTTCCATTCGAGCAGTGGGGTTAGGCAGGGTTGCCCAAACTCACCATTCCTCTTCAACTTTGCCATCGACGACATATTGGAAACAGCTCTGATGGATGTAAGTAATGGCGGTGTGGATATGTTGCCTGGAGAACGACTTCTCGACCTCGAGTATGCGGATGATATTGTCTTACTGTGCGATAATGCCCAAGGCATGCAATCCGCACTTAATCAGTTGGCAATCAGTGTCCGCAGGTACGGTATGTGCTTTGCACCCTCCAAGTGCAAGGTACTTCTACAAGACTGGCAGGATTCTCATCCTATACTCACCCTGGATGGTGAGCAGATTGAAGTAGTTGAGAAGTTCGTGTATCTAGGTAGCTACATAAGTGCTGGTGGTGGCGTGAGTGATGAGGTTGATGCACGTATAATGAAAGCCAGAGCGGCTTATGCCAATCTGGGTCATCTTTGGCGCCTTTGTGATGTTAGTCTGGCTGTAAAAGGTCGGATCTACAACGCGTCGGTGAGAGCAGTTTTGCTCTATGCTTGTGAAACCTGGCCTCTCCGAGTTGAGGATGTTAGACGACTCTCTGTGTTCGATCATCGTTGTCTCCGAAGGATTGCTGACATCCAGTGGCAACACCATGTTAGTAATGCAGAGGTTCGGCATCGTCTGTTGGGGCGCAGAGACGATCATTCAATTGGTGTCCCCATCTTGAAACATCGACTTCGGTGGCTTGGACATGTTTTACGAATGTCGTCCCAGAGGCTTCCACGTCGTGCATTATTTACCGACCCTGGGACTGGTTGGAAAAAGCGGAGAGGAGGTCAGTGTATGACATGGTGTCGTGGCATGGAAGAGAGCTGCAAAGGGCTAGCTTCTGTTGGTCCTTCACGACTCCCTGGCTGGGGTCCGAGAGATGGTGCAACACAGTGGCTAGAGACGTTATCAGATATGGCTCAGAATAGAAGCCAGTGGCGAGCCTGCAACCTTCTTTTACTTTCTACATAAAGAATGGTTCTAACTTTCTTAACTGAAAGAGTCTTCTGGTTGTACATTTCTGTCCGCCTTATCTTTTCATCCCTTCTCTTCCTACTTTCATTATTTTGTGTGGCGCATATGTACCTGGTGCCCTTTTGTACCAATATATATGTGTTTAAATAAATAAATAAATAATACAACACCCATGAAACTTCAAAAGAGGTAAACAGATAGTCTATATAGTCTATAGTCTATATAGTCTATATAGTCTAATGCAGAAAATATAGTTACTTTTTTTACAATTAGATGATTGCAAAGTGTTTTGTCAATGAAAAATGCTTAACATATATACGCAGTTTACCCAACCAATCTTACTTGATATCTTTGTTTTATAAGTCGTTCTTTTTCAATGAAATGAATTTTTTCCAGTTCAGTTTGTTTTAATTTATCAGCATAAAGACGGCATTCAAATTGCAGCATTGAAATATCTTGGTCTTTTACTGTTAACAAGTTTTCAATCAACCTAATTTGTTCACGAAGATCTAATTGTTCATCTGTTGATTTTTGACTGATTTTTATAAGCTTTAGAAAAAGGAGGAAGAATTACGTCTTTAAAATTGTTGATTAAAAAATAAAAAAATAAAACACACCACAACAACGACTAAAAACATTAAAATTACAAATGTGTTGTTCAGTTAAGACCACTGAAAACAAACAGATTTCTCGCTGACAAAGACGCCATAATGTATGTGCTAAAACTTTCAAATCTCCATTAAAAAATAAATCCTCACCACTCATTAAATAACATCTAATTTCAGATTGCAATTCCGTATATCATGTTCCTCTAACAAAATTTTGTGAAGCAAAAACAACAAAATATTGTGAGATCAAATGAATCCATTTCATTTCATATATTCTAAATATTCCCTACGAACTTTGTATAAATAAATAAAAGGCTTTGCAAATTTACTTTTAGCCTATGAGTCGGACTTTTATGAAAATGGAAAGTTATGATTATTATTTTGCGCTGGTGAACCAAATAAATTTATGCATATTACACACGAAGTTGAATTTGTAAAACATTATTTGTACGAATCAGTGAGCATGTAGAAATTTTACAACACACGAAATATTATAATTTTATTTCATCTCATAATATTTTGTAGCTCTTGTTTGTCGAAAGCCTTTATTTCTGAACAGAGTTTTGCGGCTAGATTCCTAGCCAGAACGAAATCGGTGGACATCATAATTTACCACCACAGGGGTCACATACATCAAATTAACGACTAAAAATTTTACATCTAGGTTTTATATTCAATGAAAATCATAATATAGACGTAAATTCAACATTAAAACTCGTTAGCTCTCAAAACTTCGAATTTATTGTTCAAAACTGTACCCCCAAATGTTAGCTATTCTCCATAATGCAACTGAAACAGCATTTCTTCGAATAAAAAACTGTATAAAATTCATTTGAAGGTTTAGTATGCTCAAAATAATAGGATGTATTTTAATAAAAGTGGTCATGAGACATAGTAAACATATGGTAACCACTTCATTAAGTAATACTTTTAATTTAGGTAATGGAGATGAACCATAAGCACCACAATACAACGTTGCTCGATATTTCATTTAACAGAAAGGATTTACTTATATGAAATGGCTTTTTTTAAATGAAAACCTTTCGAAAGTTAAGACATAGGTGACTTTTAACAACCTCTACTGATATATTATTGAAATATAACCAGTAAACGTCTGACTGTCAAGTGCTGCCTGACAAACTTTCCGCATTTTATAAGTGTAGAACGAATTCAGGTTTCAAATCCATCCTTGTAAGTTAAATCTTTATACACTATCATTAATAATTTAGTTTGGATATGAGTTTATTTGTGAGTGTAGTGGCAGTATTAAACTTCAATTTTTAATTATTTTGTAGCGTGATAAACGAAAAGTAATTCATTGTTATCTTAGTCGATCTATCTAGCATTGTTTCACTCCACTTACATACTGAAAGCTCATCCTTGAATTTATTGAAAATTCAAAGAGTTCTTTATTTGCAGTTTGATAGGAACAACAATAAAATACTAAAGAACATTATTTTTGAACTTCAGAATCAATTAAACCAGGGCGTACTGAACACCTTTTTCACTTTAGCGTGAAATTAATATGTACCGAACAAACAAGAATTCACAAGGGACTAGGCCTAGTACTTCTTGATTTTCTTTATACCAGCGAACTGAAATCGTGATTATATTCTTAAGTCTAATAGACCGATAAACTGGCTAAATACTCAACAAATACAATCTATGCGTTACTGTTAAACTCCAAACCTGGTTAATATTATACCTAGAACTTAGATTCTTGCTATACAGTGTACAACTTGAACTCTCGAACCCTCAAAGACGTAAGTTAGTAGACAGAAGACTAGTGTAAAGGGATCTTATTCCAAACAGTGTCAAATATGGTACAAAACGCTCAGGTATTTATAGTTTTTTAGTAAAAACGAAATCATCATTACAGTTGCTCAATTCTCATACATTGGTTTTTAGCATTTTTCCAATTAAGAAGCTACACGTAGAGATTCTGGAATATTCTTCCAAAAAATGATTGAGTGGAATATCTTCGACTCTATCCGAGCTTCCTTGAGTTCACAAGAGGCCGTCCCTACAGTTGAATTTACTATTTAAAGCTTCTTTTAAGAAATTCTGGAAATTCACTTAGAAGTCACTAGCTATGGAGCATACGTTTATCATATATTAGTTTTTTGTAGAAATAACTGCATAGTTTGCAAACAATTTTAGTTACAAACTGATATCATTGGCAGAACTATGATAAGCTAGAGAGTACTAGGTATTAGTTTCATTTTATTTTGATATAGACTACTGTAAGTCATATTACACACATGAACAGATAAATGGTATCACTATTAAAAACGTTTAGTGATTTCAAATCTTACATTGATTTTTTGTTGAGCCATACCCGAAATTTCTCAGTAATATCTACATTAATTAGATTTATATTTTCTTATGAATTCGTATATTCAATGAGAGTTTTACTTTTGTGTAACTAGCCACAATATTTGAACTTTATTGCAAGCTGTGGATGAATTTACACATGTATTTATAATTTTTTTCCACATTGTTTAGAAAATATCTGACTGTAGATTATCAGCGATGCGTTTGTCAATTTATACACTAACCTCATTTTTATCTGAATCCATTGCAGAAATTTTTAATTCTTGATTAAATATTGTTATTTGTTGCTCTTTAATTTGTTCATTCGCTTTAGCTAACTGTGTTCTTAACTCTTTTTGACCATCTTCCAACAGAGTATCTAGTTTTTTCTGTTGAGTTTGTTCGATCTATAATGTCATCAATAATTGTAAAAATGATTAAATGGAGGATCTTCGTATATATAAGATATATTTTATCTTTTGATGATGTTATTTTCTACTTCCACAGTTGTTTGATTGCGAGGGTCTTATTATGCTACTCCAAAAGATTGTCAATGTATGCTTCAAATATTTCAAAATTTTTTCACATGTGCTAAATCCTTTCATTTTGATGACCCTGCGTTGTTCTCTTCATACTTATTTCTATTCTCAATAAATGTTTGAATCAGCAGTGTCATTATAATGTACTGATAAAATCAGCTTAACGCATTAAATTTAGCCTCAAAAGCCATGGAAAAGATAATTTAAGTATAGACAAAAAGCGTTTCAGCAATCAATAATAGGAAATTTTTTGTCTGAATTTACCGCTAGATTTACGTTGGATGATATCGGTGTTACATCATGGATTGTATAAGTATCCTATCTGAGGCAAATGCACAATGAATATCACCCTTATAATATAATAATTACTCATTAATATTAATGAATCTGACTTAATATAGCGGATTAACTTCAGATTATGTCTAATCATCTAGACTATCATAAGAACTAAGGTGTTTACGATCAAACACTAAGTATCGTTCATAAAATAATTTGGACAAATTGTTGGCTACACAAGCATTTTTTTACTAGGCATGATCATAAAGAATAGTTACTTTCTGAACAATCATTCCCTTGTAACAAAATTACAGTGTAATTATCAGACCAATCATAAAGATGAATAAACATGAATAAATTCGAAACTATCAGAAGGGGTTTTTGTGGAAATTTTAGTAATTTTTTACAGTTGAAATCATGAGTCCGTTGCAGCTGGCCCACCATGGAGAACCTGAAAGCATTGGATGGCCGTTTCGTCCTATTGTGGGACACCTCAGCAGTGCGCATCCACGATCCCGCCTCACGGGATTCGAACCCAGAACCTATCAGTCTCACAGGCGAGCGCTTAACCACTAGACCACAGAGCCGGCATCCAACGGTATTATTGTCTAACTTCAATCAATCCACGAAATTGAACAACCGTTCACCACTGTCTTCAGTGAGTTACTATCTCACAGGATGAACTCCACTGAACACTGCTTCTCACTAGAACTCCAGGAAATACCTCTTGAAGCCAGTCACTAGTGAGCATATGATTATTATCAGAAGGGGTTTTGTGCAGTGGTCTAGAGGTTGAGTGTTTGCGCGCGAGGCTGACAGGTCCCGGGTTCGAGTCTCGCGAGGCAGGATCGTGAATGCCCACTGCTGAGGAGTCCCACAATAGGACGAAATGACTGTCCAGTGTTTCCATGGTGGTCTAGGTTCAATTGACTCATGATTTCAACCATAAAAGAAATCGAAAGTGTTAAAAAATCTGAGGGTAATGGCTATCTGAAAATAATAGAAAATGTGTAACATTTCCACAAGAATTTAAATATCTCTCATCAGTTTTATAAATAAACTTATCAAATCAAACTAATAAATAAAACATTTTTATGAAACTAATTGTGCTTATCCTGATATTATGAAGAAGGCTAATTTATTCTGGAGCATATATATATATATATATATATATATATATATATATATAATTATACATATAATCATACTGTTTTAAGTTGTTCTTCATTTCGACGGCGATTATGTTCAATCTTTTGCAAGAGTTCGTCAGCCCTTGAACGTTCTATATCCAATTGATCCATTAATCCTTGTATATCGTCATAATAACGTTGTTTACTTTGTTCATAGCTAAAAATATTCATTTAGGTTATTGATCTTAGATTAAGATAGCAGAAAAAAGAATCATATTTTGTAAAACTGTGTACCTAAAATCATTTCTTTGTTTTATTTTGGTATTTTCGTGCAAACTCTGTAATGATGTGTTGGCCAGTAGAATAACTTGTAATAATTAAAATAGTTTTTATACTATAAATCATCAAATTTATCAACAAGTAAAGCCATTTTGAGAATTAACAAACATCAGTGATAAAGAAGGCAAGAGGCAACAACTTGTAGATTCGATGGATATCTTTAAAAAAATTCTAATTTGGAAGTTCAAATATACAAACTTTTAAGTAAAGCTAAACTGAACGATTTTTTAATCTCTTATTGTATTTTTAAATACGACTGACTCTAAATGTCATCACTATGTCTATCGTATTACTACTGATTATTTCTGTCATGATATCAATTTTATTTTAGCCATAACACTACGATTAGTTGAAGTTGGTACAAGATATCAAATCGATATTATTAAACATTTGTTTGTCGTTTGAAGATAATTGTCACCACAGACCGATGTCAGGACGAATATTTTATTTTTCCTTCCTCAGGAAACTACAAAACTTTGGATATGAGTATACCACTATTGTTTAAAAGTTACTACATTTTAGTGAATAGCTTCTTTTACTCATCATAATGTATGGCAAGAATATGAAGCTGCACACTTATACAGAACGTTTTTGTCAAAATAGTAACCTAACATCTTATTTTTTTATTAGTAGGATAAATTAGTATGCTCACAGTCACCGGATAATACATGGGTTTAATCAATGTAGAACAATTAACATTTATTTGAAAATAATAACTAGTAAGTAAATGTTACTTTATTGTTACAAGAACAGGTAGTTTCCAAATGCCTAATCAGTAATTATACGAAAGGAGTTTCATGAGTAAATTTATGACGGTTTTCGTGCCTTGAAATAACAGTCTTTTTGCCAGAAAAGCCGATAGGCTTCTCCAAATGAGGCTTTACAAAGCTCAAATGCCTAGTATACCGCACTGAAAATTTAACCATTGATGGAAATGGGTATATCTTATTGTGAGTAGAAATGGCGTAATTTAAGGGACTATATGAAATCAAAATGTCCGAAATTTCCATGAGCCGTTTGGTGAAACAATGTCGAAAACTCAGATACTGAACGATGTATTGTATGTGCACGTATCTTTTCTAAACAAACAAAAAAGCCCCTACAAATCAAAACTTAAAGAATGAAAAAAAACTCAGGACAACAGTTAACTTGTCATCCAATTCTTTCATTCGTTTCTCATATAGTAATCGATTGTTTTCACAATTTTTTGCATTCAATTCTGCTTGCTCTTTACACTGTTTCATAATCACAAATTCACGCGATAACCTTTGATAATTCTCTTCATTCTGACAAGTTTGTGATCTGTATGCGTTAAATTGTGTTTCAATTACATTTAATCTCTGATTAGATTGTTCTAGTTCAATCAATAAGTTGTGTATCTGTTCTTGTTTTGAGCTGAGCTTGGTTTTTAATTCGGTTATCTGAATAAACAAGGAACAAAAGAGTGATATGCTGGGTTAAACAGACTACCCGTATAAATGATGTCAAACAATGAATAATAACAATTCTAGCTATGGTGATCAATATTCAAAGTAATCAACACATAGTGAAGGATGTCTAAATGAATCATTCCCAGTTTAGAAGTTTGTAGTTTATGCAGTATCTTATTTGCTAAAGTATACATAACAGCAAGCACTATATTTACGTTTTTTAGCTGATAACAGATTGAGTTTCTACAGAAAAATTAATTGTAAACTAAAAGAAGTGGTCAAGAGGAGTATTACGTAAACTACTGAAAAATTATTTAGTGCAGTCAGTCTACATATGGTCTAAATCAACCAACTACCAAATACAAAACATTTAATTGTAACGGTCATTTAATTATTTGAGTATTAATATCAGTAGTAACAGGTTGATAAACGACAAAATTTTTGGAAAATAAAGTTGTTGATTTATTAATGCGATATTCTATTAGGTCTTATAATAAAAATATAGTTTCAGATAGATTAACATGAATTCAGTATATAATTGAAAGACTATTGTCAAATGATGTAGTAAAAATAAGTACTGCTAAACTAAATTCAGTCCTACCAAATAAATTTATTATTGAGCAACTATCTTTAATCTCACACTAAAATAATCTGCACATCTATGCAACCATAAATCATGCAAAAATTTATTCACGAAAACGTAAGTCATGCCTGTTGAGATAAGATTAACAATATTATTCTGATATTAAGCCAAAATAGTGAGATGGGTCCGGACAAGCTATTCAGTCATAAAAAGTTTAGGGCCTGGTGTAAATTTTCATTGGTCCAATTTATCATGCCATACAATCATTACAGAACAAATTAACTAGAAAAATAGCAAAAACTCAAAGTAATGTGATAGTGATGATAACATGAGACTGAAAACTGAAAATCTAGTAGAAAAAGACGGTAAAATGGCGTATATAGAGAAGTTCTGGAGCTCAGGATCTCGAAGAAGATAAAGAGTAGATGTGTCTTTTCTGTTGGGATCTGTTGCTGGCCATCTAATCAAAAGTCTCCTTTCATCGATAACCGTTGTCGCATAAACCATTATCCGGCAGTCTGCATCTATCAACATGATTCCAATCTTTTTTTCAACCTATTTCTTCACCAATATACGTAACACATTCCCTAACCACGTCAGTCAATGAAGATTCATAAGCCTCATCAACCGATTCTTTGAACCAGCTTGGTACTTTGGTATCGCCTACTGGGTTATTCCATTACATTCGAGCAACATATTTAAGGCACTCAAAATCAGATAGCAAGTAATCTATGAAGACAGTTTGTTTTAAAGACATAACAACTAACGGATAATTCAAAACTTTTTCGACTTTACATTTTATGGTAATCAAATTTTATGATTAAATAAGCTACATACAAATCACTTTAACGTCTTAAAAATTCAGTATTTCCTTGATTATCGTCTAGGCTTATTCATTTATTTCAAAAAGCTTTGAAAGTTTAACCGACTGTTGTGATGCCAGACTGAACAAAATAGCATACTTTTTGAATTAGCCGATTTTGAGATTATTGAGGCAAAATAATAATTAAGTAAGAGATGTTTAGATAAGTTTTAAAAAAGTGGCATGGAAATGTATTTATTAAAAGCCACATAGAAAATTACCAAACATTTGGAGCGATAAAACTGATTCAGGGATTTACCCCACTGTGATGGACGCTGGTCACAAGACTGCTTTTAAGTATATGTGGCATAACGTGGCATCGAAGCTGTCACAGTTGTCAGATGGAGGAAAGAGTTACTGTACATCAAAAGCATAGATTAGACAAAACACTTGAATGCCAGACGAGAAGACAGTTTGTATTGTGTTATAAACGTATGTATGCCGTCGCCAATTGTTATAAACGTAGAGAGAGAGAGAGGATGCTGGTTATAACTTTAGGGGTTTCTGGTTATAACAGTCCTTTTACTTCTTACACGTATGTGGGACGTTAATTTATCTTAGACGAATATCTACACTAGATTCCCACCCAGTGTCTATTCTACAGGACTTCAACAGAACTCAGATCAAGAACACCAGATTAGCCTGACTATGACGTCAATATATTTCCACACGAAAATCCGACACAAAGAACAGTTAATCAATAAGTGTCCATTAACAAGGAACAGTCAAGAAGTGTCAATAAGTCCATACATAATAAGGATAGGGAAATATATATATAACACATAACACCTGTCATCCCCTCTAATGTCTGACTCATCGAGACAACCAATCATTGACATTCCCGCCCACACATCATATTGCAGAACACATCGAAAGATGCGAATTGATGACGAAAGGCTATGTATACAAATTATTAAGATATTTTACATATTATGTGGATTTATTAGCGCAGCACAAACAGCCTTGAGTCGGTACTATGAGAATTTTTTCATCTTTAACAAGATATCCTTGTCTTCAAAGTTTTGTGTACGTAAGGCTGACAACTACAAAGGTAAGGAACGGCTTAAACTAGTTTTCTGACGATAAATTCTAAAAAAATGTTTAAATAAAAATATCAAAATAATAAAACTCATACTACTGTCATAATTAATATGCTAATCTTATAAGTTACCTGTTCTTCATACTTGATACTTTGCCGAGTAGCCTTTTCTTTGGCCTTTTTTAACTCTTTGATTTCACTTTCATATTCGTTGCGCTTTTCAATCCACTTAATTTTGTAACTTTCACGTTCAGTTAACTCATTGATTTGTTTATGTAATAGATCACTTTTATTGGTTTGGTCTTGTTGACGAAAATGATCGCTTTTTTGGTTTCCATGTGTATAACTCCACTCATTATTTTGTTTATGAAATGAACTCCGCGTTTCTTCTGAATTACACAAATTACATCCAAGTACGCATGGTTGTTGTTTTGACTCAATGCGAAATTCCAAATCAACAAGTTTACGTGATTAAATTGTATGTTAAGCATGAAATTAAAAGCATTTGGTCGATCATTATAGGTTTACTGATACAAGAACATCTGATGTCACAATATAATGATAACTACAGTAAATGTTTCAATATTATCTGTGATCAACAGAATCATCAGTAGGAATTAGTGGATGCACGTTATAAAGCTCTTCCACGTTATATCTAAATTTTTATGCCAGTGATCTAGTATGAAACAAGTACGTGTGATGACAGTAAATAACGTAATTCGAAATGACTAGGAGTTCTATGTACACTAGTATTGATATCAGAGAGAACGAAGTGAGTACATCCAGAAGAATCATATCTGGTAATCGAATCAACTACATATTCATGTATTATACATTTGATTGGTTGGGTTAAATAAAACAGTGCAGCTCAATTATATGTCGATTTATCAAGAGAAGCAACATTTTTTCCATTTAGATAATGTACTTCTCAGATTTTATGTTAATTGTTCACAAAGTAACTCAAGCGAATTACAAGTTTTTACTGCATACGTACACACCTATTGAGTTACACAGAAAAACCAACCACATACATCGTTTTCGTTTTTATGAAGTGCTCTAAACACGTCATCCGGGATTTTTATTTAAAACTATATTTCAAGATCTATTTTAAATTTGTATATCCTGGTGATTAAGATGCGAAAGATCAAGGGTTATAAAACAAATATATCAAAGAAAAACTGGAAAACACCGTATATTACTCTCAATAAAATCAGATGGCATCTAACCGTTTCGTACTTACCTGATTAGAAAAATCATCTGATGCGTTTGTACACATAAGCTTTGACTCTAAAGTCAAATCTCTTGGAAGAAAAATACGTGCTTTCGAAGAACATTTAGGCTTTGCTGATGCTTCGGCATCGCTTCTTAGATCATCGGCCTTGAAAATATTTTTGAGACGTGATTCACCTTCTGAATCAGTTTGATTTTCGAAAACGTCGTTATCATGTAAAATGGTGTTATTGGTTAACAAATAATTCTCTGAATGATTTAAATGTGAAGGACCGTTTTCTCCATTGAGTGGTTTCGAACTTTCGGATGAAATATGCATATCTAGCAGTATCCTAGTTGATCCTCAGTCTAGATTTCATGACGAAAGTAAGCAAACTTAAAGGTTGAATTCGTTTGTCTTAATTAGGTAGTGCATGATGATCATTATTCACTAAAAAATTAACTATGGTGACAATGAGTGTTTTGAAAATAAATATTGGTGTATTCATAGCTGTCTTTCATTGAATAAAAGGTAAACGCGAATAGCTCATCAATAGTTGTAAAGTGTACATTTCAAGGTCACTTAAGGGTCTATAATGAACGAACTAAAACAAGCATTATGGGATCGCGTAATTTTTCGAAGAGTATAGAAATTAATTTACATTACATTCATGCTTCGTTCTTAAGTAGTTAAAATACATGTTCTTGTAAACGTAATTTTTTATTTTGAAGACACGAAGTTTTATAAAAAGGTATTCCTAATATATTTATAATTTCATTACTGTGACTCAGTATAAAAATCCTTCCTATTTGCCCATTATGCAGTGTCAGCAAGTGGAATGTGTGGCTAAATAAGAAACTGCTCGTCTCATGGACTGCTTAGTGGGAATCTGTGTTCAATTTTCCTTGTTGTGTACATTTACACGACAGTTCTAATTTCTTTTTCATATTATACAGTAAATTATTTTTATACTCATACAAACAGAACATATTTCTGAGGTATTGGAAAGCTGGTTTTCACTAACAAATTTTGTAACAATGAGTAATATTGCCACGCGTAGTTGGAATGTGTGCATATTCACTTACTTACGCCTGTTACCCCTCGTGGAGGGGCACAGGCCGCCAACCAGCATTCTCCGTCCAAATTTGTCCTAAGCAATTCTCTCCTGTTCTTTCCAGTTGTTATTCATTCTTTTCATATCTGCTTCTATTTCCCGACGTAATGTGTTGTTTGGCCTTCCTCTCTTCCACTTCGCTTCCGGATTTCAAGTTACGGATTGCCTCGTAATGCACATAGGGGTTTTCCTTAATGTATGTCCTATCCACTTCCAACGTCTTTGCCGATTTTCCTCTCCATCTGGAAGCTGGTTTCTTCTCTCACACAAAACGCTCTAGTTAATAGTATTCAGTCAGTGAATGTTGAGTATTTTAGTTGGAATGTGTGGTGGTATATAAATCCGCAAAATAAATGCTTCTGTTTTTCTTCGATAACTGTGCTATTGTGAGTGATTTAATAACCTGGCTGATTGCTTTCAATGGGTCATCTTCACCAGACTACGTTTGTGGAAGTGTTGTTACTCATGACTCATGGCGCAAAAGGCACTAGTTGGCGGAATATAAACGGATTTGTGGCAAGAGAACATATAGCAAGTTCAATCAAGCAAGGAACTAATGAACAGAGGGAATATGAGAAGACAGGCTGCATTATCAGATGGATGTTATCGATAAGTTTTTCTCCAATCCGAAGAAGTTTACCCCCATCATGCGGCCTTTCTTAGACAGCCCAAAGCAGGAGTTTCTCATGTCCTAGATCCTAACGGTCCAACCAAAAGCGACGAAGACTCCTCTGGCCTTCTAGCAAAACAGTACTTTCAGACATTTTAACCGGACAATACCGACTTTTATGAGGAGAGCTTCAACTGCAACTCAACAGAACTTTCAGAAGTGAACCTGGGAGCTGACTTGGTGTGTTAGAAACTGTGGCGCCCAGACAAGGATAATCCTCCTGGCCCGGAATCGAGAGTTCTGCTATGCTGAGGCAAGCGGCTTCTTTCTTAGGAGAACCACTTACCGTTATTTTTTTACATTCGTCAGGCTGAAATACGCTGCCGAGAATTCGGGAGCTGACTTACCTTACGTCAAACTTCAAAGGAAGTCGATTTACTGCACCTTAAATCTACCGTCCAAATTTATGGAGGGTATGATATCCGACGGTCTACGTGACTACCAACTAACTACTAACATATTTTCAATTCAAAAGCATGGCATCAGGAAGGATCATTCTTGTATAATCAACCTGCTGACTGCGGTGCCCAAATAGGCAACCATCAAAGAGAAATTCGACGTCACATAGCTTGACTTCCCAAAAACTTCAGATAGAATCGATCGTAGATATCTTTTCAATACGCTCAAATGGACAGACACCAATTAATTCGTTGGCTACTTCATATATATATAATCGACTTTTTAAGGTTAGGGGAAACTTAACTAGTTCTCAGGCTAGAGCACGTCTTAATGGGGTCACCCAGGGTTCAGCACCAGGGCCTCTTCTTTTCTTAACTTATGTGAACGAAACTCTTCAACATTTGTAGTATGGTTGATTGCTTTTCACTGATGATGTCAAACTTTGGGAAGAAGTTCGTAACCATGATGATAAGCTGACACTTAAAGGGAGTCCGGCTGGACTTGAAAGTTGGACAGACAATAACGGACATACCTTTAACACTTTGAAGCGTAGAGTCACCATTCTGAAACATTTTGCAGACGATGCATTCAACTTTCGTAACTCCCCTCTAAAGGTATCCGAAGTCGAAAAAGTCTCGCGCTAACTGTGACAAATGCCTTTTCGAGCAAACATTGCACTGGTAACTTTAAAGTGCTTTTTCGGCTAGTTTTACGGGAGGAATTTCCATTTAATTTTCAACAGCCATATTCCACCATATTTAGTGTGTAGAAACATAGTACTTCCCCCTCACTCCGAAAGGGTGAAATATCCAATGGCAAACAGTGACATCAGTTGGGCGACTCAAACTCTGATAATGTGAACAGGGCCTCAAATCACTGAACCTTTTCTCATTACAGACTAGGCGTCTAAAAGGTGACCTAATTACTTATAACACACTTAACGCTCCTGAGAATCCGCTCGAACATCTAATTAAACTCAGTCCCGACTCATAACATATAAACATCAACCAAGAATTAGAGACATAACAAAGTAGAATGAATATAAGCAGACTTTTTGTTCCTTAAGATTAGTCAAATGCTGGAATTCGCTGCCGGTTGAGCTAGTGCAGGTGACTTCCTAGGTATCATTTAAGAGAAAAGTCGACATATACTTAAGGACTTGGGGTACCGTGACGCTACAACTTATCAATATTTCTTCTCTTTTGTCGTAAAATATGCCTAGGTTTCGACCTGGAGGCATCGATGATCGACTTTTACTAGACACTTAAACCTACTAGGCATAAGCTCTTCCTATTCTATCCAGAACTATTTGAAACCATTTATCCCATGTGGGCTAGACGTGATGCTAGACACTTCAAAACAACTGAAACAATGAAACAAAAGCAGAGAAAAGGTAGCAATTTGAATCATGGACTTAGACCTGTCAATCTTTTTTCTTGTAGTTAAGCTGAAATGTGAGATTTACATATGCATATACACAATAGGAGTTGGACTAGTATAATGAGATGGGATCATCACATCCCGGAGATTTATGTCACCAATTGAAATCTGTTATAATGCAAAGGGGTTATGGTTATAACCTTAAAGTTAAACTCGAGTTTTGAACTAGATTTTCAAATTAGGGTCAGAGGTTTTATCATGAACTGGAAAACAGATGTCAGAATCGTGCAATTCGTTTTGCGAAAAAAATGTCATGCACCCCCGTTGTGTGTGAAAAGAATAGATTTTTGTTAACAGCTGAGATCTAATGGCTTTCGATTTGCATCCACTTCGCGACGTTCACTGGATGGAAAACTATGAATATTTTTGCAGCAAATTGTGGGTATCTGCTGTAAAGCTGGTATGTTCGTCTGAACAATGGGTAATCTTAAGGTTTTTCCGAAGGACATCATTGAGTTTCATAGAAGTTTAGGAAAATATTGTAGAACGATAAAAATGGTGTAGAGTGCCCCCTAACTGCGAAAAATATTGGATCACAGTAACAGAGCATAGATAGATTTCCCCAAATCTATCAAAAATTCCGGGGAAATTTCGAGTATATGTTGAGGAAATACTGAAATATCGGGGTTAAAAATTATGGGGTTTTATCAATGGATATAGATACATTCCTTCAAAGTATTGGGAAGTTCTGAAGAAAACTAAAGGATTTCGTACCATTTTTCCAATATACTCAAAAATTCACCGATAATAGGAAGATTTGACTGTTACGATATAATGGTTTGCTACACATGTGTTTACAAACATAAGAAACATTAGGTTGACGTTTAGTGTAAGAGTAGGGAATGGAAAAAATTATATAACTTCACTAAACGTTTGATTGTACAGTTGATCATATCAAGACAGGCTAATAAGCCTTTGGGCATGTGTGTCGATAAACAAATCAACAAAATGAATAGTTCTGTAAGACTTAGACATTTGATGATGACCTCATCATTTTCACTGGACACGTCTATCTAAAGGCGTTTGGTTGCGCATCCGCACCAGCTCACAGGTGGGTACGCGATGCTACGCATTCTTGGCGACTGTTATTCGACATGGACTAAACTCTCCCAAATATACCGATATCTTTTCAAATATATCTGCGCACCTCTTTATTTCTGACTTCTGGTTTGACTGGGTTGTTGTACTTCCGTCATGAGAGTGTTACATGTAAAGGCGTTGTTAATTTTGAAGTACCTATGACATCTTTAGTGGTGAGCCCAACGTGATCTGATAAACCAAACAGTAAGGTGAGAGTTTGCTCTTCGTTGAGACTTCAACCGCTTGTAATATCCAAAGTAAGGTTTGGCTGAAGAATAACTGTCTGAGTACTTTAGATACCCGATATTCTCAATTGAAATCAAAACAAGGTGATTGAGAAAATAAGGGTTGCAACTTCCTCATAAATACAAATGCACATTATTACCTAAACAAATCTTACCGCTAAGTTATTTAACCAATATTTGTTCCTTCAATAATCGATAAATCGATATAAATTACAATAAGTAGACAAATTGATAAGGAACATAACAAATTACCAACACACCAAAAATAAGTGTTATCCCATCTTTTCCGGATAGATCAAGTAAAAATCCGTTCAAAAGATAATAGATTGTTGCTTTATAACACAAAGTGCCTCCGATTCCGGAAAAGTACTTCAATTGTGATGTTTAAATAAATCAATGACTTTTTTGTATTGATGACTGTTGTAATTTTGAATTCCAAATACAATACATTCGTTTGTGCTCCTCTAATACTTCTTGATTAAATTGCGTTATTACTAGAATTACTAGTTCATACTATAATTCAAATACTTCTGATTATCATATCAATGCACAATCAAATGCACGATCCCAGTCAACACAAGCAACACAATCAAAGATATAACAATCAACATAGCTGCCGCCGAGATTAGGTATCAACCA